CTTGTTTTCCAGTACAGATATCTAAACATTCTTCCCGTTTACAATTTAAAATGTATCAAAAGCGAGTTTATGCTTAAAACAAGAAGAAAAAAGGAGTAGCTTGTTTTAGGAGTAGCTTAATTTTGATATTTGACTTCTGTTCAGTGAACTATATCTCAATATCTCAAGTCATTTTGCGTCTCAACTAATCTTGATTTTAAGAATATTTGTACTGGAAAACAAGACAAAAATACAGAGTAAGAAAATCATTTTTTTGCAGTGTTACTTACTGCTACACAGCAAAAAAAAAAAAATTCTCACATACATATTTTTGTCTTGTTTACCAGTCACAATGTCTAAACATTCTTAAATCATACATTAATACATTAACATTATACATTAATATTATTATATTAATACATTAATAGATACATTAATTTAAGAAGCAAACTAGCATAAGGTATTAAGCCTTGTTTTCTGAAACATGTATCAAAATTAAGTGAGTTTTAACAAGAATAAAATATCTGCCAATGGGGTAAGAAAAATAATCTTGTTTTCCCTTTGAGTTACATTTATTTTTCTTACCCCATTTACTTGTTTAAAGCATAAACTTACTTAATTTTAATTTTTCTTTAACCCCAGAAAACCAGACTTATTATTGTATGCCATTGTCTTACTCCAATGAATGTTTCTTGATTTAAGAATGTTTAGATATTTGTAATAGAAAACAAGGCAAAAATACCAAGTAAGAATGTTTTTTTTTTGCAGTGTATAACTCTAGGGCCTACCTGCAAGTCTCTATTTTAGATAACACAGAAAAAAAAATATCTGTCAGTGTGGTAAGAAAAAAAAAAAAAGTTAAATTATCTTGCTTTCCCTTTTAATTTTTCTTACTCCACTGACCAATATTTTTACTTGGTTTAAGCATAAACTCACTTAATTTTGATATTCTTCACAAAACAAGACTTTTTTTTGCTTCTCAACTAAGAATTTTTAGAAATCTTTACTGAAAATAACAAAAATATTAAGTAACTAAGCAAAAATACTAAACACTGTTGAACATGTAATCCAGTTTCTTTATGCACGTCTCTGTTTAATTGACACATTTCGTTGCGTTTTTCATTTGAAGGTATCATCCACAGTGATTTAAAGCCAGCTAATTTTGTGATTGTGGATGCTTCGCTGAAACTGATCGATTTTGGGATCGCTAACCGTATTCAGCCTGACGTGACCAGCATCATGAAGGACTCGCAGGTTCGACCAGAACTGATCTAGTATTACACAAGTTATATTTCTAGCCTGTTCTGTGTTGATTTACTCGTTCTTATGACGTCCGTCAGGTGGGGACTCTGAACTACATGCCACCAGAGGCCATCAAAGACACGTCCTCCAATGGGAAGCCAGGGTCAAAGGTGAGAAGACTTCATATTTTAGTAACGGATCTCATGTTAATATAGTCCTTTCAGGGAGCATGTATAACGTTAGATTACACCGTGTGATCCCATCATTCTCTCTTCAGATCAGTGCTAAAGGCGACGTGTGGTCTCTGGGATGTATCCTGTACTGCATGACTTATGGAAAGACTCCGTTCCAGAACATCACCAATCAGATCAGCAAAATCCATGCCATCATAGACCCGACCCATGAGATCGACTTCCCCGATATCCCAGAGAAGGACCTGCTCGATGTGCTGAAGGTGCCCAGGATGTTTGACTGTGCTGATCAGTCGTTTAATGACCCCAGTTAGTGCTCACCGTCTGTCTCTCTGTTGTCCGTTTCAGAGGTGTTTAGTTCGCAATCCTAGAGAGAGGATTTCTATAGCAGAGCTCCTCGATCATCCGTACCTGCAGCTGCAACCTGCACCTGAGCCAGGTACAAACTACAGTCTCATTTCACTGAAAGCAATCACAAATCTAAAGCAGTATGAAATCAGAGCAGAAAATCTGAAATTAATCAAGTCATGACGTTAAATGAGTATCTTCCTCAGTATTTTTGTTTTACAAATATCTTAACATCCTCAAATCAAGATGCAAAATTAAGAAAGTCTTGTTTTCTGAGAAATTGAACACAATTAAGGGATTTTATGCTTAAAACAAGAACAAATATCTGTCATTGGGAATGAAAATGTATTTTCCCTTTGAATGAAGTAGATTTTTTTTGAGCCCATTGGCAGATATTTCATCTTGTTTTAATCATAAACTCACTTCAATTTTTTTTTATTTCACATAAAACAAGACTTTTTATCTTATGTCTCAAGTAAATGTCTCTTGTTATAAGAATCTTTAGGCATTTGCACTGGAAAACGAGACAAAAACACTTTCTTGCAGTGTAATCAGTATGTTCAGTAAAAGGTATTTCTATATCCTAGCGGTTGTGATCCAAAACGCCAAATGCTTTTTTTTTTTTTTTTTGTAAAATATTAAAAAGTAATGGAGATCTGTTAGAAGCTGTATTTTTCAAGTTTAAAGCCTTGCTAATACAAGACACTGTGCTCCCTAGACATTTAGGAGAGTGTATTGATGTATTATGTTCCCTTCAGTTTATTGAAATGTTCCTTAAATTACTTCAATGTTCCTCCATAAAGTGTTGCTTACAGAACTTTTTTTTTTTTTTTTTTTTTTTTAAAATATATTA